TCCTCCTCAATTAATAATTAAAAAAACAAAAAAACAAAAACACAACCAATATTATCTCTTCTCAACTCTTCCTTCTCTCTCACAAAACCCATCTCCATCTCTCTCTCTCTCTCCTAGGGTTTCATGATGACGTCATCACCACAAAACAACACCCCGAAGCCAGCCGCCAACCGGAAGACCCCATCCTCCTCCTCCTCCGCCGCCTCCCGGCCCCACCGCCACGAACCGGCGGCCGCCGCCGCCCGGTGCCCACGTTGCGACTCCCCCAACACCAAATTCTGCTACTACAACAACTACAGCCTGGCCCAACCCCGCCACTTCTGCAAGACCTGCCGCCGCTACTGGACCAAGGGCGGCGCCCTCCGCAACGTCCCCATTGGCGGCGGCTCCCGAAAGACCAAAAAGCCCTCCTCAGCCGCCGCCGCCGCCGCCAAGGACCACCAAACCCTCGCCGGAGATATTGGAAACCCCCTCGCCTTCTTTCAGGGCCTCCCACCTGCTATGGATTTCCAACTCGACTATGCCAATAATTATAACCCAAACTCCACCGATTTATCACTGCCCGGACTAAAAATCCCATCGGGCGGACTAAGCCCTAATATTTCTTTCGGCTCAGGAGTTCAGTTAGGGTTTCAAGACGTGGGCCCCACGGCGATTGAGTCCCTGAGCTACATAAACCAGGACCTTCACTGGAAACTGCAGCAGCAGAGGTTGGGGATGCTCTTCGTCGGGGGTTATAATAATAATGATCATAATAACAACAACAACAAAGACAGTGGTTTAATGGTTGTTCCGTTTTCTTCTTCTTCTTCGAGGGCTGATGAGTCGTGCGCCGTGATTGGGGCATCGTCCGAGATTAATAATGGGGATTTGTCGACCGAGTGGTTTTTCGGTGGTAATAATAGTAATGGTAATAATAATAACAATAATGATAGTTGTTATGCAGCTGATCGTGTGGATGGAACTCGGGACATAACAAGCGGCGATGACAATTTGGAGAATGAAAACAGTGGTAGAAGCTGGAGTGGGTTTCAAGCATGGACCGGGCTTGGGCTTTTCTGAAACTAATTTGATGAATCAAGATTTAGTG